ATATATATTATTAATTGCTAATCAGATGACAAAATGTACATTAATAAATATTTTCTCCTGAATTACCACCAAGTGAAGCTAAAACTAGATGAAACTTGATGTATTGCGTTTGGAGCATATCCACAGACAAAAAAGGAAAATGTTTTACATCGTTTTATATAATTACTGCTCTTAGTGGGTTGCTCTTTCAGCTAATGACATTCTGTATACTCCAGCTCATGATTAGCTGATTGCTAAATTAGTTGACGATAATCGATTCTTCGCAATCTACCTGGCTTTAAATATTAACATCAAGGCTCTCTATGCCTATTATATATTTGTTTAATACAGAATAAACAAGTTTTTTGGTATTAAAAAAGTGCTAAGGTAGTAAAGTGATTAAAACACTGGGAAGTTATACACCAACCAAAGCAGCAGAAGCAGAAAAGAGAAACAAAACTTTGAAGTTGACTCAAAAATAATTGATCTTATTCATATTAATTGATGGATAGATTTAATAGATATTATTTATCTCTTAATTGTATCACTTTAAGAACACACAGGTCTTAATTCACATGGTTTGCTGATACGTAGCAGTCCACCATCCTAACAACTAAAGCTGAACCAGACTTGTTGCTGTACCTACCCTAACAAGCCCCCCTACTAGTGCTGTAAAGTTGGTGTTAAAGCAGTGGGCATCTAATGTACCTTTCACAGGAGATGAGAGACTTTGCCTTCAGGGGAAGCTGAGCGAAGCTGTAATGAGGTTCAAGTTAGTTTAGGAGGCCAGAACAGCAGCCAGCTGCAATGTGGGATTTACAGCTCAGATTAATAGGCCACATAGGCTTTAAGCCTTATACGTAAAACATACTGAATAATCATAGTTCATTGACGTCAGTGATCTGTATGAGGATAAGAAAACAGTATCTGAACAACTGGGGCAAGAATCAAGATTAACCGAAGGAAGAGATGGAGCCAATCGCTGCAGATTTATTTAACATCTTTTAATGTGAAAAACAGCAGTTAATGGATACGGCCCTTCCTCTAGATCTCATTTATGCCCTAGCATACGGAGTCAGTTGAACAGAAAAGTATTTTCTTCAAGCAAACCTGCAGCCCTGAGTGCAGCATGTTTTTTTTTAAACTCTGCGTTTTGCTGACTGCAAAACCAGTTTAACTTAATATTATGAAAAAGATGGCCTGTTCAAGGTGATTGCATGTCTGATCCTAAATTCTAATTATATTTATGACTTAATTGGTCATTTGTGTCACATTTTATCTGTTTACGACAGTTTTATTCAGCAGTATTTTAAATCCCTTCACAAGCATTTCAGATTTCTGGTTTAGCAGCCAAAGAAAAACAAATCTTAAAAAATATAAAAGGTGTTGTTAGCTTTTATGAACAACACCCAGACTAAAGATTTGATTTTTAAATCTTTTAATTAATCAAAAGTTCACATTTTTGACAGGTGTTGAGTCTAAACCATAAACGACACACAGAGGTGCAAAACACAATTGAGGGACTTGTGGGGCCCGAGCGGAAGGAACTTAAGTATTAGGTCATCCTCTTATAGCGCCACAGAGAAACTTCCTCCTGCTTCACGCCAACAGCTCAGATCCAAAATAATAATGAAGAAAAAAACACACACACTTCCAATGAATGAACTCCAAAGGACACAGAAACACACAGAGCGGTGTGGGAAATAAATGCAGCCTGGAGCCTTTGCCTTCTGTGCCTCTGGCAGGTAAACAGCCATTGTTCAGAGGTGCTGGTCTTTATGCTGAGAGCGGCTGAGCCCAAGTCCACCGTAAGGCGGATAGAAAACATCTTTCATGACAGAAGCTGATGTTTTTAAAAACAAAACAAAAACAGTCATGTTTTTGTCCTTTCCAACACGCCTTGGATAGAAAGAAAACGCTTCAGCAGGACAATCATACCCTGGGTGGCTTTCAGGGAAACATTCTGAGCTCTAGCAGAGTTCATGTACCGTTTCTGGTCCAAATGATGCAGATAGAATAAAGGGCAGCCTTCTCGCTCACAGGCTACAAACACTGAGTGAGAAAATAAAGGTCATTTCATCAAGACAGAAAAAAGTTGTGTTGGATATCAACAACTTTAGATGCTGACATTTTGACTCTTGGTAACAGTCATTTAAAAAGGAGAATTTCAGCATAGAAGTTTAGTAGATAATTACTCAGAAAACTCAAATTTCTTCAGTTAAGGTTTAGAAACCAATCCATTTAAAGCACTTATTGAATGTAGTCTTGCAAATGAAATTTAAGTGGAGAATAACTTAATTGCAATATTCATTCCAGATAACTGGAAAACACAACGCTAATCAGCTTAAGAGAGAAGAAGCATCAATTAAGTCCTCTGCCAGAGCCTGTTACGCAGTCTTTGAATTTCTATTTTACCTCCAGGACCTTTCTTTCTACTGTAGATTTCACTGAACTGCATGCAGACAAGTTTATTTGAGGGTAAGGGCTCCTCTAGTTTAGTGTTTGTGGTGCACTATGGGATCCCAGTGGACCTTATTCTGTCACAGCTTATGGTTTAAGTGTATGGAAGTAAATCTGTGTCGCTGG